CACGCCTGCTCTTAAATCCAGAATTTGACGATGTCACAGTATTCAGACAAAGGTACGTGCATTTGAATGAAACCTTAGAATGTTAGTATAATTCGATGTATGTTGAGAATATCATTTCTAAGCACGATAATTCCTTCGTGCAGGATGTTAGGCAGGGCTGCTCCACCTCAACCTATAAAGTTGTCGTGTGATGATTTTTCAACTTCCCAGCAAAAGGAATTCCTAAATCCAAGTAGATCCAGGGTGATTGCTACATTAAAGAATTGTAATGAGGTATTTCCTACGTTTTTTTATTTGTACTTCTAATAAATATTTAGGCGTCTTTCGTCTTACGCCTTCTCTTTCCAATGCAACATATTTAGGTTTTAAACTAATATGTGGTTTAATTGAAATAGGATGGATCCTACATACTGTACGGGACTATTGTTGCAGTGAAAAATGATACTGATTGGTGGTATTTGGCATGCAAATGTAATAGAGCTGTTAGGCCAGACGCCTCCATGTATTATTGCATGCACTGTTCATGTCATGTCTTCAATGTCACCCCAGGTTTGATTATATTCTCTGCACCCGTATTTATATTAACTACCAGTGATATAAATCCAGGAAAATGAACTCATAAATTTTAATATTTTTATAGGTATCTCATCAAACTCACTGTTAAAGATGACTCTGGTACGGCGACTTTTCTCTTATTTGATCGTGAGGCATCCTCCATATTGAATGCATCATGTGCTCTATTGATGGAAAGAAATGACGTTGTATGTACCCCTTCTTTAAGCATAGCCATTTCATTTTTTACATTTAAATACTTCTTTAAAAATTATAAATCAATCGTTGATTCTCTTTGATGTTGCACATAAAATCTCAGGATGGAAATCTTAACCACCCAAAGGAGTTTGACGATCTTCTACTAGGCAAGACGTATCTTTTTAAAGTCGAAGTGAGGACAGTGTTTCGAAGCAACCATGATCAGTCATATAGAGTATCCAAGATATGTCATGACGCTGCGACTATAACAAAATACTTGGAGAATGTACACGCGATTAACAAAAAACCGAATGGTAAGAGCATTGGACCCATGTACTCGATGGATGATGACTTTTTAAAACATACACGTGCAACAACAATTGAAGCATTGAAGGATTGCACAGAGGTTTGTCTTACTCAAATTGATATATCGTTCTGTTTGCCTTATTTTGTAAATGCCAATATTTTTGCGTGGTATATTTCCTCATCTAATATTGAGATTCATACATATACCAATATACTTGCAGCGTATATTTCTTCATCTAAAGTAGGTGCAGTATTGCCATATGCCTTTTCTTGACTCCACAAGTCTGTGTATCCCATCTTATTTTTATAAATAAATGTTTCATCATCATCAACATCATGCATCATCATACTGCATACATATACATATAAAGCATGCCCGATATACATGAAGGTTATTTGCCTTACCAAATGGACAAAAAAGTACACATTTAGAAGCTGTTTTTCAAACATGTTATGGAACATCCCATTACCTTAAATACACATGCAGGATAACTGCTGATTTTTTAATCTGACCCACTGTTTTGGAAGCTGTATTATTTTTTTATTGTTGTTAAAATCTTAGGGTATTATTCTCTCCACCAAAAATGCAAGCAATGACTTCTTTATACTATAGATTTAGAAGCTATTTTATTCTTTAGTTTTTATAAAATCTGAGGGTATTATTCTCTCCACCAAAAATGCAAGCAATGACTTCTTTATACTGGATCTGAGGAATTAATTAATCATACTTTTGGGCTTCCGGTATTGTCTAAAGTTGTTTGTTATAAATTCCATGCATGGACTAAATACGCTAAAAGTGGGGATGGATAGATTAATGCCATCAGTAAAGTAGTCCAGTACTTCATACTTTACCTTTCCATAATATCCTAGCACAGTAGCTTGCTCATATTTGATTACGTTTGTATTGATTGAACTTTTTCTATGTTAAGGATGGCGATTATGCGGTATATGGTACCATCAAGGGTGTGGATGGTGGCTCTGATTGGTTCATAGCATCATGTCGATGCGGGTCAGAGGTGATCCCGCGTAGTGGATCTTACTACTGCACTGACTGTAAAAAGCTTGTGTTGAATGTTATTCCAAGGTTAGCCCATATCCTTTATGTACCAACTAGCTTTTACATTAGTGCCACGTACATATATCAATAAATATAACCGTTGAATAACAACACAGATATCGAATAAAGATGAGGGTCAATGATGCATCGGATAGTGCTACATTTGTTGTATTCGAAAATGTTGGGTGTTTGATGCTGCACAAGTCATGCTCCGAGATGCTCAAGTATTGTGAGGTATGCATATACAATATTTAGAAACGAAATTGTCTATATACGAGGATGTGCATATACAAGTCATGCTTCGTCTGCATGTTTGAAAAACCTATAAAATATTATCTGAGTTTGGATTTGGCATTGCCGTGCAAAGGATGTGCCAGGTGGAGGTGCGGCACAACCAGACGTATTTAAGCATATGTTGGAAGATAAATCTTTCATTTTCAAAGTTGAGGTCAAGACAGCTACCTTTAATGAATTTGACCCTACCTACAATGTGATTGACATATGTTTTAACGAGCAAATCATTGCAAAGTTCAAGGATCTAAACTCAGCTTTTTTCTCACCCCAGGTTTGTGATATTAAACAAAACTGTAATTCTGCGTAAAGAATTTATATAGGATAGTTTTTTATGATAAAACTTGCTATTCGTGATTGGGCGCAGACCGATATGGCACCAGGATTTTCAACTGCCGAGAAAGAAAAAAAACATAGTTTCTTAGACGGAGAGACTTCTTCGTGCGTAAAGGTAAGAAATAGTATTGTCAATTGTAAGAAGAATTCAATGACGTGAAAGCTTTAGTTGCATTATTTATATAATTATTCAATATAATGATCAAGTTCTGTTCATTCACATGTGTGAAAAAAGTGTGAATGTCTTTTATACATTTATTTACAAGTATTTTTTCATATTTTGCAGGATTTATTTGCTGATTTTGTGGAAACCGTGGATGGTCGGCCAATTCAACCGGAAGATTATATGACTAATCTTACCCCAGTTAAGAGAATGCAACAGAAAGAAGTTGATGATGGATATGACAAGGCATCGGGGAACAAGATGAAAAGCATTAAAGTAGAGAAAATTTAATCCCAAAAGTACCATGTTTTACTATTATTATTATTTTATGCTTGGATTTAATAATTAGACATTTTAGGTTTATAATTCCAGTGTTATAAATTATTGCTTTATAATAAATGACAGATTATGATTTAATCTCAATAATATTTTACCGAAGTTTTTTTGGTATGAGATGGTTTATAGATTACTCCATTATTCCGATTATATGTTGAACTTATTCACATGTTTTAATAAAATATTGTGTTTCCATTCTTTGTTTAGTGATAAATCAAAATTTCAATTTATCAATTACTTTTCAAGACCAAGTATACTGATTTGCAGTATAGAACGGGCAAAAATAACAACTAAAAAGAATCCCTTGTAAGTAGGGTGTCGAACCTCAGGGAGACGTGAGTTAATTTAATTTAAACAAAAGTTTACAAAAGAAGTTGTAAAATATTTTGGTCTTTTTGGTTTTAAAGATAAAATAAAAAGTGTAAAAGAAGATAGTTCCAAACAACACAAAGTTTTTGATGATAAAAAGTTAGGGGTAGAAATTGGTAAATTAATTGTCCAATGTTTTTATAAAAGTTGGATTGTCAATTTATTTTTATATAGAATGTGTGGAGTTGCAGAAAAGTATTCAGGGACGCTCTCGCAGTTCACCTAAATAATAACTACTCCGACTTTAACACGCTAATGATAAATCCGGAGTAATTATTTAGTA